TGGGAGGGGAAATAATAAGTCCTTCCTGCCCCTTCTCAGGACAAATCAGACTTCCTGAGTTTTAGACAGAATCTATACGTCTAATGGACCATTCGCAAGACGACCATGCCTTGAAACTATTATGCTGAGTGAAACCGACCAGACACAAAAGGACACATACTGTATGATTCAACTTACATGAGGTGTCTAGAGGAGACAAATTCCTAGAAACAGAAAGTAGGACGAGGTTACCAGGGGCTGAGGGAGGGAGGAATGGAGAGCTATGGCTTGCTAGGTACAGAGTCTCAGCTCAGGATGGTAGAAAAAGTTCTGGAGATGGACAGTGTGATCATGGCACAACATCATGAATGTACTTACTGCCACTGAAGTATATGCTAAAAAAAAAATGGTTACGGTGGTTAATTTTATGTTATGTACATTTTACCCCATTTAAAAAAATTAATTTCAAAAAACAAAAAGACTTTGATGCTGAAAAAGGATTATTCCCACCTTCCACCCTCTCCTTCCCAAATTTCGGACCCCATTGTCTTTCACTTCTCTGTTTAATTTATTTGGGGGTTGTTCTCCACTGAGTTACTAATTCATTGTAAATGATAATGCACCTGTGAGGGAAAAATGATTATATGTTAAGGAATAACATTTATTGATAATTAAGTGTTTCATGGTTTCTTTGCTTTCTCAAATAGAATACATAAATATTTTAGGCACAATCAAGTTTGTTTTCTCTGTTCGGGCCAAACAGACAGGGCTGTTGAAACGATATAGATCTTTAAAATACTGCAAATGAGTCTTGACATCGCTGAATTGTTATGCATCCAAGGTACACAGGCTTGAAATCCAGGCTCTCTCCTTTGATCAGGAAAATCATTTTTGTGATACTCAAATTTGAGTCCTGTGGGGTTAGGGAAGAGACCAGCAGGGAAATATCAGAGTCAGAATTCGAAATGATGCAGTGAGTTGTGCCCCCACCCTTCCTGGTACACAGTCTGCATTTGAATTTCTGTCTCCTGTAGCTCTGCCCCCAGGAGTCTTCCCAGCTTTGAGCGGTGGCACCGAGTGAGAAACTGGGGCAACAGGGAGTCCTGAGCCATCCTGGGCCTGGAGTGCAGACAGTGATTCACACAGTGGACCAGGAAGGCGTGGGCTGCAGTAGGAAAGCAGCTTCCGTGGCAGTCATGTCAACTCGTCACCCCCATGGTGACTTGACTTACCCTGGGCACTGTTCCAGGATCAAGTACCTGTGCTCAGCAGCAAGCTGGCTCTAAACCAGGCTGTCCTCTGGCTTGTGGAGCAGTGCCCTTGACTGGCACTGACTTCCTGTTATTTCCCGATGGCATGGATGGGTTGGGTTCATTTGTCCACACTCTCCTGCCTTCTCTCCAAAGCACATGCTTGGACTGGCTGGGGGAGCTCATGTGTGCCCCTGGGGGAGCAGCTGAAACTGCAACCTTGCTCTACTAGTTTCCTGGGGCTGCAGTTACAAATTACCAAAAACTGGATGGCTTAAACACAGAAACTTGTGTTCTCACGGTTCAGGAGGTAGACATCCAAAAACAAGGCGTTGGCAGGGCCATGCTCCATCTGAAGGTTCTTGGGGATGTGTCTTTTCCACTTACAGCTTCTGGTGGCTCAGGTGTTCCTCAGCTAGTGGCCATGGCACTTCATTCTCTGGTGCGTTTCTCTCCCCTCTTTGTCCTCTAGGTCTCAAATGTACCCCCTTCTTTCCCTCCTAAGAACACCTGTCATTGGATTCAGGCCGTCCCCATTCTTGAGATCCTTAATTACATTTGCAAAAGCCCTTTTTTCCAAACAAGATCACATTCATGGAAAAAAAAAAAAGATCACATTCATGGGTTCCAGGGGTTAGGATGGGGACTTGGCTTTTGGGGGCCACTGTTCAACTCATTACACTCATCCTAATTAGCAGCAAGGTTTCCCCTGAGTCCCAACGTGTCCAGGCTTGTTTCAGGATTCATGTGTTAACTGGGTTTAGATACAGGCTAGAGAGGTGACCTTCAGAGACAAAATGAATCTCAGGGTGACCTGCAGGCTGGAAGTGAGGGTCGTGAGGGAGGGGCAAGGTCTATATGGTGGAGACGCTCTCCTTGAGTGGGAACCTCTGACGTATGCCACTCAGGGTACCAATTGATGAAGAAAAAGGATGCCGTCTTGCTAATTGCTGCATCCTCCATGATCCCTAGCACAGGTGGGGGCCTGTAATGCAGAAGGAAGGACTGAGTCTCAAGGGGAGGCAGTGGTGCAGATGGATTAGCAAAATACTCAGGGGCAGAAATGGTGCATTCAGTCAGTCATTCGTTCAGCCATCAGCCACTCAGCACTCTCTGTGTTAGGGGCTCCACGCATCCTGGGGGCCCAGAGGGAATGAGGCTCCAGCCCTGCCATCATCCTTGAAGCCTATGCTAGCAGATTTCCATGGCCTCTGCTGTGCCGTCCTTCTCTCCCCCTGAGGACCTTTTAAAGGGCACTTCCATCTTAATCCCTTCTTGAGGGGCCCCTAGTTTCTGAGCTCTAGGACAGTAGACAGAATGAGGGGCTTAACCAAAGTGATGTAAGTCCCTGTGTGCTGATTGGGGCCCCTGAATGGGGGATGGTTTTCACACTCCTTTAAAGGGGGCACAGGAAGCCAACACGCCCAGGCCCAAAGAGAAACTATGTAGAGACCGCCTCTGGGTGTGGCTCTCATACAGCTCCGCACATAGTAGGAGGACCCAAGGGCCAAAGGGGAGACACCCAAATAAAGGGAACCCAGAGGATGGCATTGTTGCTCTCTCTACAGGGACCTGGTTTGGGGCCAGGGGTTGTATACCTAGTGAAAGATTTTTTTGTTGGGCCTCCTCTTTGGAGTGTGGTAATAAAGTACATATCCTAATGAAGACCATGGTGGCTGCCATCTGTGTGGTGGTCCCTGCTCTCTGTTTTGCCGGAAATTGTTTGAGAGTAGCAAGTGGCCATTTCCATTCCTTTCCTAGGAATTTTCTAAACCCTGCAGGGGCAATGATGTAGGAGCTTGGGGTATCAGCTGCCTGCCCCCATGCTGCTCCTCAGAGATGGTGGCAGGAGAGCCAGAGAGGAGAGACACAGAAGGGACCGGAGAGATTCTCTCTCCACCCTGGGGCACCAGGACCCAAAGTAGATACGTAAGCTTGAAGAGGAAGCACCTGTGTTTTTTACTCATTGACAGGAAACACAATCCTAATACCAAGTAGCCATTCTGATTTTCACGTTCCTAGTTGGTGGGTCCAGGTTTGTGTTGGGTGGGCCAGGTTCATGTCTTTGGGGACTGTAGTGTCTTGGTCAATTTGAGCTGCTCTTACAAAGTACAAAAGACGGGGAGCCTCATAAACAACAGGAGTGTATTTCTCACCATTCCTGAGGCTGGAAGTCCTGTGTCAGGGTGCCAGCATGGTGAAGGCCCTCTTTCCAGTATAGGATGGCCATCTTTTCATTGTGTGCTCACGCAGCAGAAAGCAGAGAGAAAATACACTTTCGGTGTATTTTCTGAGGGCACTAATCCTATGCATGAGGCTGCCACCCTCATGACCTACTGGCCTCCCAAATGCCCCACCACCTCCTAACACCATCACATTGGGTTAGGATTTCAACATATGAATTAGGCGGCGGTGGCGATGGGGATAGAGCAGAGAGCCTTGCAAATCCCGATTGGGGGTGACAGCCATTAAGAAGCATACAGGATGGGGCAGCCTGGGTGGCTCAGTGGTTTAAGCGCCTGCCTTCCGCCCAGGGCATGATCCTGGAGACCCGGGATTGAGTCCCACATCGGGCTCCCTGCATGGAGCCTGCTCCTCCCTCTGCCTGTGTCTCTCTGCCTCTCTCTCTCTATGTCTATCATGAATAAATAAATGAAATCTTAAGAAAAAAAAAAGCGTACAGGATGAGATGAGCACTGGGTGTTACACTATATGTTGGCAAATTGAATTTAAGTAAAATTTAAAAAAGAAAAATCCTGATTGGGGCTGCCACCTGAGGAGGTGGTCAGCCTCCCCATCTCCCTCTCCAGGTGCAAAGCCCAGGGTGCGGAGCGGGGAAGGGGCTTCCTAGGATGACACATAAGTTCACATGTGCTGAGAGTCAGGCCTGCTGCCTCCCCGTCAGGGTGTCTGCACCCACGGCACGTGTGTTCCCTCGCGGGGTGCCGTCCTGTGAGTGGGGCCATGTGTTCAAGCAGCGCCCACCGAGTGGGGTCGCAGGTGAGCAGCCGACTGGAACCCCGTCCGGGGCGGGGGGAGAAGAAAGCGAGGGGGCAGGAGGGTAGCAGAGCAACTGAGGATGGCGAGCAGCGGTCGCCTGCCAAAATTCTCCAGTACGGCTCGTCGAGCAAAGCCGGTCTCCAGCCGAGTAGATACGGCGGAGAGCTGACGGGCTGACAGCGGGCATCAAACAGTCTTAAACTGCTCTAGATCCGCCGCGCTTTGGAAGCAGCGGTAGAAAAAGGATGCCTGCGTAGAACAGAGGCCTGAAACTTTTAATAGTTTCTTCCAGGCCTCAGGATGTCCTGATGAGGTATTAGAGGAAGTAATTCAGGAAGAAAAGGACAAATAACCACCTCCGTCTGGAGGCCGCCCCGAGGGCTGGCCATTCCAGGGCAGAGAGGGCCGCGGGGATCCCCGCTGCCGAGGCCCGGGAAGCCCCCCCCCCCACCTCCGCGGGAGCCGTGGGGCTCCGACCCTTGTGAAAACAGACGAGTGCATTTCTTGTTTGCTTCCGGGCAAATGTAAACCGTGCAGCGCCCGCCGCATGTGGGTGAAATCATTAACTTTTCCTCACTGTCGGGAGGGTGCTCCGGACAAATTAGAAATCATTTCCTCCACCTCGAGGCCCTTCCCAGGGATCCGGCCCCGACCCTCAGATCAGGAGCCTGTCACTGCCGCAGGACATCAAAGAAAAACATGTGGCCGGCCAGAACTGAACTCACCACCCCCTCTGTTTTTTGTTTCTGTTTTTTCTCCTTTTTTCTGTAGGGTTTGGCTTTGTCACGTTTGAGAATGAAGATGTTGTGGAGAAAGTCTGTGAGATTCATTTCCATGAAATCAATAATAAAATGGTAAGTTTAGGGGTCACGCTCTGATGCATGCGATCCCCCCCCCCACCCTACCCCACCACCACCACACGTGCACAGCTTTGTCTTGCAGACTTCCGTGGCCCACGTCATCATGCAAGAAGCCGGGCAGGGTGGGCACGGGGATGAGGCTCTGAGGTTTCGGTCCTGTCAACGACCAGAGTTGACAGACTTTTGGTGAAGAGCCGAGTCATAAATATTTTCAGCTTTGCAGGCCATGCAGCCACCTGTCGCGGCCTCTCAGCTCCGAGGTTGAAGCGCAAAGGCATGCGAGGACAGTCCCCGCACTAGTAAGGCTGCGGTTCCGTAAGGCTCTGTTTACGGACGCCGATGCTGAAATCTCATGTAATTCTCATGTTGCAAAATATTGATTTATGTATTTATGTTTTTACCGTTTTAAAGTACAAAAACCATTCTTGACTCTCAGGCTGTAGATACAAAAGCCGGCAGGGGCACCATATTTGGCCTCTGTGCTATAATTTGCTGACCTGCGGCTTAGGGAATGTGTTTGCTGTTTGGTTTGGCTTTTTGAGGGCGTATATCCTAGGTAGGAAGGTTCCCACCCAAATTGGTTCTCCCTTTGGGCCCCACTGGGTAATTAACATTCTCCCCTTCTGATCGACTAGTTGGATTTTACCTTCATGAGCATCTCCTTCTATCCCTCATTTGGCTCTTTAAAGGTCCTCTTTCCTCACTCAGCAGGGAAGAGGGTTGGATCATTGCAAGCTGGGGGAGCCAGGTAGGCCTCCCAGAGAAGTGGCCACCAGAGGGTGCCATACCATGTAGACCATGTGCACACTGGCTTGCTTGACGTCTCAGACTCCTTCAAATTGAGAAGATGGGTGAGAAACCCATTTCTTGTCGATTCCAGAAATATGAGAGCTCAGCAGGTGTTTCTGGAGCCATCAGCAGGCCCTTTGGAGCCAAAATAGTTTGGTCGACCAGCATTGCTTCCAGCCCCAAGAGAAGGGGGAGGGCAAATTTGTGTTTCAATTGTAGTTGTAACTTTGGTATTTTCTTCCTTTAGTCAAAACATTCCTGGCTTCTGAAACATGTGTTCAGATGTGCATTGTATATTGGTCTGATACGTGCTCACTGACTTTAAATTCAATAATAGAGCTTTTAGTGGGGATAAGATCAAAGCAGTCTGCTTAGCATGTGGTGCTACAGGCCTGATTCAATATTTGACTTGCTAATTTTTTTCCCAGGGCACTAAAATAATATTGTTCATATTGTTCCTAACCATCATAGGCATCTGAAATGAAAATGCTGTTTCTTTGCATACTGTAGGTTGGTGGTGTCAGCTCAGGCATTAAAATGGTATGGGGGAGATAAATGTGGAGGAATCACACGGACCCCTTCCTCGGCATTCTCTGCACTGCCCTCTCCCTCTGCGCCCCCAACTCAGTGTCTTCCTGTTGGTACTTCTCTCCTTTGGTAGATTGCTACTTGCTATTTTTAAAACTAGAGAGATAGGGGGCTTAAAAGGAAATGTAACTCCAGTGCCCAGAGGCCTCGTTTCTCCTAGCCAGGCATGCTGTTGACGGGCTCCACTGAGGGCTGCCTGGGCAGCAGAGTGAGAGAGGCATCTGAGAGCATTGGCAGACACCATTCCTGTCCTGCCAGGACTTAACGGTTCGTCAGGAAGGCCCAGTGTAGATGGGCAAGAGACTGTGCTGTGTGCTGCCTCGAATGCGTATGTGAGGCCCTTCAGTACAGACTGGCTTTCAAACAAGCCTGAAACACAAGTGAGAAAGAGCTTTGTTCTCCTCAGTGTTCCAGTGGGGAAACTGAGGTCCAGGGGAATCGGCTCCAGGGCTCCCCCAACAGTAAAGGAACCCAGGTCTTGAGCTTACCAGCTGCCAGATGAATGACACAGGTAGTTGTTTCGAGCTTGGGGGTTTGAGGGTTGACCTAGGGGGATAATCAGAAGGTAGAGTTTCATCCCCATGGGTAGCTTGAAGCCAGAGAGGTCTGTCCCCAGTCATTTCACATTTGTCACCTTCTTTTCCACCCAGCTGGAGGCTGACTGTGGTACATGCAGGTAACTGTTCTCCTAGTGGTAACATTTCTATTTTCTTTTGAAACCAAGGCTGGTACTTGGTCTTTTTTTTTTTTTTTTTTTTAAGATTTTATTGATTCATGAAAGACAGAGACATAGGCAGAGGGAGAAGCAGGCTCTCCACAGTGAGCCGGATGCGGTACTCGATCCCAGGACCCCAGGATCATGACCTGAGCCGAAGGCAGACGCTCAACCACTGAGCCATCCAGATGCCTCTGGTACTTGATCTTTAACAGTATAGCAGAAATGGAAGCGGACAAGAGAAGGGGTGGGCGCAGAGTAGTGAGGATCACATACACGCTCTAGAGGTGCCCCTAAACCCAACAAGCCCTGGCCCACCAGTCGCCGGCTCTAAAGGGGAAATCCAGTACTGGAAGAGGCCATTGGAAGATCACCAGGCCTTGCTGGGCTCCAAGATAGCAGGCCCCGTGGTGACCACCTGGTGGGGTCGCTGGGCCTCAGGGAGGTACCAGCAGCAGAGGCCAAACACATTGATAACCGGGAGCTCTTGCCATCCGCCGTGTCGTAGTCACTGAGAGGACCTCTCCAGCAAGCTGTCCTCCTCTGAAGAAGCCTGGATTGCTGAGGATTCTATGATCCTGGTTTCTACTTCTGAGGCCACAGAAAAGGAAATGGATTTAAACTGTGCTATGGACAGAATTCAAATGAAGAGTTGGAAAGACGCTGAGAACGCAGAGACTGCCAAGCAGAAACCCGGACAGTTGTTAGAAGGTCCGTAGGAGTGTTTTGTAAACTGGACTGCGTGCAAAGCTGTAAAGACCCGTCTCCTGGAAGCCTGGCAATCTCCCGGAATTCTGCGGGGAGAGATTACCACGCCGCCCCCGGAATGTGCCTGGAGCTACCATTTTCTCATTCACAGATAAGAAAGGTCTTTCTGCTGATGAGTCACGAAGATAGGACTTGAATCCAAATCTTCTTCGTCTTAATCCAGTACTCCTCTGGCTGGCGCTCAGTGGGCCCTGTATAAATAATTGTGGAATGAATAAAGGATTACAGGAAGGACCACGTGACAGGGAGGTGCATCATAATTCCCAAAGCCATTTCCCATCTAATTTGGTTGGTGAATCTCTTGGGTATTTTTTTTTTTTTAATGAGGGCCCTTCCCCGGCATCTGAGAGAGCCTGCAGCAGGCACAAGCCCTCCTGTCTGCTGAGGCTCAGGGTAGCTGCTGTCAGGAAGCTGGGATCACAACAACTCTGTCCCTGTTCCCATACAGACCCTCCCTTAAAGAGGTCACCTCCATGGTGGTGGTGGCAGGGGGAGAACCAAAAAAGACCCCCATGGCACCCTCCCTACAGAGATCCCACAAATAGTTCACATTTTTTAGTGCCAGCTGCATACTCTGCTGAGAGCTCACTTTATGCATCTCTTCTATTCTACACTTTGATGTAGATACTGATTATTATCCCCCATTTTACTGGTAAGTAAGTGAGGCAAAGAGAGAAGTTAAGCAGTATTCCCAGGGCCAAACACTCTGCAAGAGGCAGCACCAGAGTTCAAGCGTAGAAAGCTAAAGTCCAGAACTCCCATTGGTGCCCAGTAAACAAGTAGCCCCTCCAGGCTGAATGGAACTTTAAAGGTCATCTCGCTGGACAACAGCCTTCCAAGACCACTGACCACCCCCTCCCAGTCAGCCGTGTCGTGGCCGATGGGACTCCCATGTTCTCCTAAGAGAAGGGCAGAGGAGATGGGCTTACCCACCAAATCCCCAGCTGGGATGAAGGGCCAAGCTTGGGCAGAAGCGGTTCTGATTGGCCACAACAGATTTCTGGGCCTCTTCCCCCACTGCCCCAGAGGCAGATGAGCCACAGGTGCTGGGGACAGCTGGCTGCCTGCTGAGCTCAGGGGCTGACCCAGGACAGCCAGGACTCAGCCCCATCCCCCATCTTGATGTGGGTCAGAGTAAAGCACAAACATGTCTTTATCAATAAACACACATAAATTCACCAGCGGAGCCACCTGGTGACTCTCCAGAGAGGGCTTCCTCTCCGGCCATTCCACGAGACCCAGTACAGGTACAGCCACTGACGCCTCCAGCCACGCGCCCCTGATTGGAGCAGCCCCCCCACCCCAGGAGTGGGGATGTGAGCTTGATGTGCTGTCAGCCAGTACAGCCTCCCGGCAAGCTCGCAGCCCCAGGAGGGAGGTGGTGGGCGACACCTACTCTGGGCTTTCTCAGGGGCCTAGCTCGGTCCCCAACCTCAGATGGAACCGGAGAGCCTCGCTGGGGGAGAATAGGGGGTACAGTCTGATGGGTGCCAGAACGAGGGCGCCTCTTCTGACACCTGATTCACCAACAGGACATTGGCACTTGCCAGGTACTGGAATGGCGCTGTACATGCACATGGCAATCGTCCCATTCTAGAGTGGGCTTTGGAGCTCAGAGTGGTGAAGGGACTTCCACAGTCCATAGTTCTAATTGGCAGAGCTGGGATTTGAACCGGTACAAGTTGTTTTTGCCTCAGCCCTGTGTTCTTCCTAATATACTCTGCTGCCTCCTTAGGGCAAAACCTCATGAATTGAAAAATCTGGGTTGGTTTAAGTAGCAAAGATGAGTTGTTGTTTTTTGGGGGTTTTTTTTTGTTTTTATTTATGATAGTCACAGAGAGAGAGAGAGGCAGAGAGAGAAGCAGGCTCCATGCACCGGGAGCCCGATGTGGGAATCGATCCCGGGTCTCCAGGATCGTGCCCAGAGCCAAAGGCAGGCACCAAACCGCTGCGCCACCCAGGGATCCCGCAAAGATGAGTTTTTATTTGCTTTGTGCACGGATTACTATAAGATTCCTTTAAATAGTCCTTTCCCTTGTTCTATTGAGGTGATCTGAATTTGGAAATTGCCTGGCATTTTGCAAGCTTATTAGGAATGCAGAGTCTCAGGCCCCACCCCCAGAGCTAGTGAATC